TTGTGTTTGTCTGTGTGTGTATAAATGTATTGTCTATATTGTGTGAATGTATATGGACACCTTCCTCCCAACACCCACTCATAAGTATTACACACATGACCAATCACACATACAAACACATTGGAAATCAGTCATACATATACACATACAAATAAATATAACCTTTCACAACCATTTCAGTAATTTAAACACACTTACACTAGGAACTAGTCACACACACCAAGAACTAGACAAACACAGACACGCACACACATTCACTATTAACTAATTATACACACAGACGCAAACTGATATCCATTCATACATCTAGAATTTTTTTTTAACACAGATGCCTGTTAGTAATTCACACAGACACGAATGTTATAACTAAATCAACACATTTTCTTATACACACACGCAAATACAAATAAACGCACACATACGGGTGTCCACATATATTTGTAACTCGATTTACAACACGATCAAAATACACAGTAAGACCAAGTTAAAATCCATTTAGCCCTACCACAATCCCACCCAGCAGATCTTTGGTATATGATGCTGTGATACAACTTATCAATATTGCAGATGGTTACTAGAGTCTGATGTGTCAAGTAGGCAGCTGTCAGAAAGGATTACCAAGCCGCGGAGACAATATCAGCATCACCCACAGCCAGCTCAGGGCATTGAGGCCCCTGCAGTGGGCACAGCTTGCGGAGTGACAGCCCGGAGGAGTTTTCCTACTACCTGCAAGGTGCAAACTGTGATTAATCAGCTTCTAAATGTTACATTAATTTGACAGTGAAGACATTTAAGATGACAGAAAGTACTCATAAAGTTGAGTCATTTGGTAACCGTGTATATTGTACATCTTAACAAGTCTTTTTTAGCCACGGAAAAAGTCGTTACATTTTGGGGCCATAACAATCTTCAAGAAATATCACAGACAAAATACTATTCTTACAAATAGTTCCTTTTTTTAACATGTTGATACACAGTATATCTTGTGGGAAGAAGACATGTCCATTATTGTCACGGATTCCAGGTTAATGTAAGGGGTCTTACAAACCATTACTTCTTACTAAAGACGTACAGGTCTTGTTTTATCCAACAACTAAGAGAGACGCACACAGATATGAAATATCTCAAAACATGTTCTTCAAAATAAATGCCACTTACTGACTGTATTTTTGTGTTTTAAACCAAATCTCAAAGTTAATCATTTTCTTATTTTTATCGTTTCATTATTCACATCTACTAACCAGCTTCTATTAATCACCCACTTACAACAACTCAATAATAAGAGTGTATTAAAATACATGAATTCTTTATTTACTTGTTCATTTTGTGCCCTCAAGAGGTTATGGTTCAAAAAAATATTTTAGGAGTCGCAGTACTAGCCATTATTAAAAAGCAACTGATCAACTGCTTACCACACTTTATATAGTCCCTGGGGGAACTCTGCACATCTTGTAACTAATATCTTGAAGGATGTGGCTTTTTGGGAAAGACTTGCTCCCAAGGACCACCAAGAACTCTTGTCAGATTTGGTTTGGAGCTGCTCAGAAGAATTCTCAGATAGATGAATAATTGTAGTGTACTGTGGCTTGTGCAATACAGAAATTAAATAAAGAAAAAGGCTTTGTAAGCATTACTGGGACTAATATCAGCATTCCCCACTGTAATTATTGTTCCCAACACATTACTAAGAAAATATATGCATGCATGATATGGTTTGGATGTCTGTTTTAATATTAAGTAGTATTGTGAACATTTCAAATATTGGGGGTTATTTATGAAAAATGATTTTAGAACAAAGTTCTAAAATTGGAGCAATGAACGGAGACATTCCATTGGTTTTCATGGTAATTAGTCTTGAAATAGCATTGTGCTTAAAGGACCACTAAAGTGCCAGGAAAACCAACTCATGGCCCCCTCCCTCCAGGCTCTAGCATGAGGAAGGGGTTAAAGGCATACCTTTCTCCAGCGTCGGGCTCCCTCGGCGCTGGGGACTCTCCTCCCTCTTCGGCTGAATGCGCATGCGCGGCAAGAGCCGCGCGCGCATTCAGTCGGTCCATAGTAAAGCATTCTCAATGCTTTCCTATGGACACTGGTGTCTTCTCACTGTGAAAATCACAGTGAGAAGCGCGGAAGCGCCTCTAGCAGCTGTCAATGAGACAGCCACTAGAGGCTGGATTAACCCATAGGTAAACATAGCAGTTTCTGTGAAACTGCTATGTTTACATCAGGCAGGGTTATTCCTAGCTGGACCTGGCACCCAGGCCATTACATTAAGCTGAAGTGGTCTGGGTGCCTATAGTGGTCCTTTAACAAACAAAAATCAAAAACAAAACAACAACATAATTCATTCTTATAAAAAAGGAAATGTTATTTCTAGCAGAATGAACATTTTCTGCATATATTATTATTGTTATATTTGCCTGCATTACACTTTATATGTTAGTTTTAATTTATATTTTGTAAAATATAATGGGAAGAGTAGATAGCAATAGCCTGCTCCCAAAAACGACAGAGAAATCAAAAATTATATTTTAGAGAAAGATGATTTGCTAATGACTTAGCCAATCAAGAGACAGGAGCTGGACATGATAAGAGAAAACTTTCCTGTACGTGTGTCATTGCCCTCAGTAACTGCCTTGCCATTGAAGTATACTTAGTCCAACAATAGCTTTAGGGCCACAGTTATTAATATTGTAAAAGTGAATTTATAGGGAGTCTCTAGCACTATAACGACATAAACTGTTATGTTAGGTATAAATGTGCCATGTCACCTTGCACATAATTACTTATAACTGCATTTCTAATAATTGCACAGTTGCACAGTAGAGGTTTATGGTAAAAAAAAGTCACAAAACTCTAATATAGAGCTGTCAGTAAAGTGACAGTAACAGATGTATCAGGTTAGGCAACAGTTCATTTAATCTTATCTGACTAATGAAATGGCTTCCAAGCGTTCAACTATAAGACCCATTGACATCTTTTGGTCCCATTAAAAATATCGGGCGTATCATGATTGGCTGAGCAACTTCCTGGATTACCTGTGATTTCAATGCAAAAGCTGTACACCACAGGGATTTGCAGCAAGTGCAAGGACTTCAAAATATGTCTCTCCTTTTGTTAATCTATTTTGCATAGTTGTAACTAATGGGAATCAACTCCAGTGCAGAGTGTGAAATCGATATATACGTGTGAAGGACAATTACCATACAGTGCGTTATTCAATCAGTTGGAAACATGGGGTACTAACAAAGGCGTTACACAAATTAAGGCCAAAGTAACTAAGCAAGGAAAACAACTGAGCTGGAGCATGATATTATTTTTCTTTCAGTTATTTTTATTATTTTCCAGTTTTTGTTCAAAATTTCTCTCTTAATTAGTGAACCACAGTAGATTCTGGTGAAGGAAGGTAATTTACATTGCAAACTGATGGTGTAGATGGTGGAGAGTTACAAGAGATTGAAGATAAATAAAGAACAGTAGGGTGATCATACACAGCATTTGCCTTCATCTTACATATGTAAATCAAGATGGACCTGTTAGAGCTGAACAACAAATGAGTGTAGTACAGTGAAAAATGTAATTGTGCATTCTGGAACACATAAAATTTTTTAAAAAGTTAATTAATCAAATAACCTACAGATCTTTTAATATTGCAATTAGTTTTCCTATTGTGGAACTGCAAGGTCAATGATGCTCAGCAACCACCATACAAGAAAAGATGTATATGTGTGGCTGGCTTAGACCCACAGGGGCACGGGTGTACCTAGAGCATTTGGCTCCCGGGGCGGACCCTGAGTGTGGCGCCCCCCCCCCAATAATAAAAATGTAAGAAAACACCCACAATTTTTTCAGTGTTTTCAATAATATTTATTTCAAAAATTTGTAAACTGTATATCAACTTGAAAAAAATGGAACTATGAAAAATAAATTAACTTAGAAATAAATAAAATTTAAATAATTAACATTTACTTAACAGTTAATACGCTTTCTATAAACAAAAAAACACACAGATCCAAAGTGACCACTCAGTCTATTCGGCAGAGGTAATGTGCAATGATTCACATCCGCTGCCCTCGAGCCTTCATTTCTGCAAATTTATCGATTATTATTTTCATGCTCAATTGAAAGTATAGCCAGATTTGTCAACCTTGTCTCACTCATGGTTGAGCGAAATAATTTTTTTAATCAATTTTAATTTGGAAAAACTTCTTTCACATGAAGCAATAGACACAGAGAGTCAAAAAGAATATTAAACACAGTGACAAATTTGACAGAGATTCACAATAATCCCATTTAACAATGAACTCCAGGAACTGCAATGCCGTCCATTTCTTTGCTTCTTCAACACTGATCTTGGCAGCTTCCAAATGCCTCCGATGACGTTCAATTTACCTAAAGATGTCTTCATTAGAGAATTCGTTAAAAATCTCAGTCAATTTTGAAGTATAATTACGAATATCTTTCTCTGTTGCCACAACCAGAGAGTTTGGCTGAATAACAGTAAACATTGAAAGGATTTTTTCAATTGCCTGGGAACGAATTTCCAACTCGTGATGAAAACGATCAAGGCACTCAAACATAGCCCTTTTCATTTCCTCTGGCAATGTGAGACCAGCGTCCTTTGCCTTCTCTCCTGGCATTGTTTTACGGAACTTTACTCTCCCTCTTCTTTACATTGAAATGTCCATTTCTTTACACGTAGTAGTTGCATAACAAATGGCCTTCTCCACAATTTCACTGCGCTGATCTACTAGAAACGCTTTCAAACCTTGTAGTTTTACAATGCACTTTTCAAGAGTGAGTCCCACAGGTTGCAAATATTTTGTGTGATATTAACTTCTTCTAGAACTTCACACCAGAAAGAAAGGTAACACAAAAAAGAAAAATCACATACGGTAGACAGCAACATCTGAGCCGATCCTCTTGTGTCCATCTGATCAGTGTTGGACACATCAGGGGTGCTGTCAAAAAGAATCCCAAAGTACTTTGCTTTCTTGATATCAGCTAGATATCACTATTTTGACCTTCACATGATTTCCCAAAAGACAAATTAATTCGTTCTGAATTTTTGGAGAGAAATAGGAAGTCATTCTCTTTCCAGATGCAACAGCATGTTCCAGCCTCATGAAATGTTCCTTTAAAATGGGATCATAGTTTGAGAGCAATTCTACCAATTCGAGGAAGTTGCCTTTGTTTGCGGATGACATGGTCTCTCTATGACCACGAAAGGGAAGATTCTGGTGAGCCAGAAACAAAGTTACATCCAAAAGGCAATGCAAAATATCCCTCCATTTCCTTTTCTCTCTGTCCACTGTTGTTTGATGGACATGATCAAGGCATTTTTGTAGCTTCAATCCTGCTCTCCAGGTCTTCCATTTCTCCAAGCGTGTAAGATGCTGCTCAGAAGCCTCATGATCAGACACCTTTGGGTTCAGCTTCCACCACAATTGAAACCCAGTAACAAAACTGGATGCCCCTGTTACTTTGTCATCAACAGCAAAAAGTCTGCAGCAAAAACAAAATAAACTTTGTTTTGATGGAGAGTACACCATCCACATTCTAAGAATTTTTTCGCCATTAGGCAGAGCCTTATAGAACCATGCAGTGGTCAGCTGTTGACTCTTCCCTTTTGATTTCTCTCCTTGCCTTTCAACAGGACTGAATGGCCCATCTCTATTTTGGAAAGGTTCACTTCCCCTCTTAATAAGGTCCACTCTTAAAACATCTGGAACTGGAACTGGCCAAGCAGCAACATCAGAATAAACTGACAGTCGAACAGTCTCCTCTTCTTCTTCATCATCATCAGAGTCTTGCTGATTCAGGCTTCTGCTGGCATCTCCTTCATTTACATCACTTTCACCGCTTGAAGATAAAATGATCTTCTCCAATTCTTGCGCTTTCACATATGAAGCTTCTTGAGAATATACTTCAGGCATTTCACCTCTGGATTCAACAGACTGAACGTCTTCAGCACTTTCTCCTACTGTAGTAGATGTTGAAGGTGCAACATATTTTAAAATTGATCCAGACATCGCCTCAGCTGACTTTTCTCTTGCCTTCTTAATTTTTCGTTGCTGAGACCCGCTTGGTCAATTTCGCTTCATATTGGTGTTTTCTGCAGAAAAATTCTAAATTTATTTTGGCTCTAGGGTTCGCTAGTGCGAAATCTGTCTTATATTTCCCATCTTGGCATACCATTTGTAAAAGTAGACAACCCAGGGTATTTAAAGGGACACTATAGTCACCCAGACCACTTCAGCTCAATGAAGTGGTCTGGGTGCCAGGTCCCCCAGATTTTAACCCTCCAGATGCAATAATCGCATCCAGCTTGCAGAACGTCCATAGGAAAGCATTGAGAAATGCTTTCCTATAGACTGTTTGAATGCGCGCATGGCTCTTGCATGTGGGAGCTGACGTCGGCAGGGGAGGAGAGGTCACCAGCGCCGAGGGAGCCCGGCGCTGGGTTAAAGTAAGTGGCTGAAGGGGTTTTAACCCCTTTAAACCCATTCAGCCACTTACCTTTCTCCAGCGTCAGGCTCTCTCGGCGCTGTGTGACCTCTCCTCCCCCTGCCGACATCAGATCCGAATGCGCATGCGCGGCACATTCAAGCCGCGTGCACATTCAAACTGCCCTTAGGAAAGCATTACCCAATGCTTTCCTATGGACGTCCAGCATCTTCTCACAGTGAGTTTTCAGTGAGAATTGCGGAAGCGCCTCTAGCGGCTGTCAGTGAGACAGCCACTAGAGGCTGGGTTAACCCTCAGTGAAACATCTCTGAAACTGCTATGTTTTCAGCTGCAGGGTTAAAACTAGAGGGACCTGGCACCCAGACCACTTCTGGATTTGGGTTCAAAAGATGTAGCGGCTAGGGCAGAGGTTTTGTAGAAGGGGGCCAGGGCAGAGGTTTTGTAGAAAGGAGCTGGTGAGAAACTTCTAGAAAACTCCTGCCCTGCCCCTTTCTACAAAGCCCCTTGTCTCGCCCCTTCTAGAAAACCCCTGCCCTTTGCCCTTCATTTAAAAACCCGGCACACTGATCACATAAATGTCATACACTCCCTACATATAAAAACCCTGCACACCCCCTTAATTAAAACAAAAACAAAAACACTGCACACCCCCCTTAATAAAAAACAGAAACCATGCACAACCCCCTTAACAAAAAACCATGCACAACCCCCTTAATAATAAAAACCTGGACACCCCCTTAATAAAAACCCTTGTCACCCCCTTAACAAAAAACAAAAATCTGCAGTGCACATCCTCCCTTAATAAATAAAATACTGCAACCCCCTTAATTAAAAAAAACCCTGCACCCCCCATTAATTAAACTTACCCCCTTAAATAAACCTCCCCCGCGTTGCACCTCCTTAATTAATCCACCCCCCTTTAATTAATCCACCTCCTTTTAATTTATCCACACCCCCTTAAATTAATCCACATCCCCTTTAATTAATCCACACCCCCTTTAATTAATCCACTCCCCTTTAATTAAACCTCCCCCCTTTAATTCTTTAAACACACCCCTTTAATCCACACCCCTTTTAATTAATCCACCCCTTTAATTAATCCCAACCCCCTTTAATTAATCCACCCCCTTTAATTAAACCTCCACATTTAATTCTTTAATCCACACCCCCTTTAATTAATCCCCCCTAATTAATCCACATCCCCCTTAATTAATCCACCCCCTTTAATTAATCCACCCCTTAATTAATCCACCCCCTTTAATTAATCCACTCCCCCATAATTAATTCACACACCCCCTTATTAATCCACCCCCTTTAATTAATCCATCCCCTTAATTAATTCACCCCCTTAATTAAACCAACCCCCTTTAATTAATCCACCCCCTTTAATTAAACCTCCCTCCCCTTTAATTCTTTAATTAATCCATTATCCACCCCCCCTTTAATTAATTTAGCCCCATCACATAAAATACTACTCACATTTTGATGATGCCTTGTCTCCGAGACCGACCACTGGGTCAGCTGGCACCCCTAGTCAGTGGCACCCAGGGCGGGCCGGTCCCCCCTCCCCCCCACCCCCTGCCCTCCCCCTACGACACTGCACAGGGGTATAGTTTTACAACATGAGTAGCTGTGTTTCTACACACACTGTGTGTAAGCAAGGAGTTTGGAGTATGTATTGTGTGTGTGTATCTATGTGTGTCTGTCAGTGTGTCAATGTAAGGGATTTGGAGGGTACCTTACCGGTCCGCCGGTTGTGGGGAGTGCTGATCAGGCAGATCACCATAATTCCAGTGCCTGCAGTTTCGTGCAGATTCTATGTTTTATGATGCGGTTTTATGACTCAGAGCATGGTCATTATTTTTAAAGCACCAGCATGGTCATTATTTTTAAAACACATGCCTACCCATTTTTATTTCCTTGCATTCAAAACAAATCCCCAAGTCTAGATTCCAATCCTACCCTGCTGATGGCCTTTAAACATAGTTCACACATCATATTTCAATTATTCAATAAATAAAGTTAGAATATCCAGATTAAATAAATACTGTTTCTGTCCTCCTAGCAGTTGATATACATTGCAGCATGTATTATCAGTCACAAGCATAGAAAACAGTATAATGCATTCAGTGTTTCAATGATTACAACTTACGTTTTTGTTGGAGGGTCTCTTTTTTACAATTCCACTTAGCAATAATGACTGTTCTGTGACTCCTACATCCCTGTCACATACAATCAGTCAGCAGTCCCACATTCAAATCATATATTTGCTCTCTGTCTTTAGAATACTTTATACTGTTACATATTATTCTGTTATCCCGGACTATTATAGCACTCAAAGATGTCATGACAGCACACATGGAAATCATTTATTGTGGCACCCACTTAGGCGGAGGCCTGAAGATGTAGCAAGCAAAAAAAAGAAAGATTAAGAAGCAGATAATTATTAAAATATGTGAGATTTAGAAAGTAAAAGTTATTTTAGCTTTTGAATCTAGATGGAATGTATGTATCAAGGACATCTTTCTGTGCGCCACTCCTGCGTGGACGGTTTGTAGACATGTGCAATTAGTTTCGGTCCGAATACGAATTTCGGGCAATTCGGAATTTTGGGCAATTCGTAATTTCGGGCAATTCGGACATTCAAAGTGCCGAAGTGCCGAATTGCAGAGTTCCCGAAATTCTGAAATTACTGAATTTCCGAAGTGTCGAAGTGACGAAGTTCCGAAGTTGCCGAAGTTCCGAAGCACAGTATTGCCTAAGTACTAATATACTTACCAAGTGGAAGAAGAAGAATGTTACACTGTATACAAGTTTAAATAAAAAGTATACAAACATAGCCAGGATTCAGCTGTAAGCATTTGCAACACTTACAACAATTAAGTAACATACATGCATATAAAATATAAATTACTTAGCCTGTCAATGGAATGACAGGAGTGAATAAGTAGATAACTCCCTAATTCCCACTGTATTAGGGAGCTATCTACAAAAAGGCTGAAAGATCTGAATTGGTCTTTCAGCCAAATTTAATAATACTAAGTAAAGATTACTTAGTATTAATAAATTATGCCCCTACTCGCTATACCACGAGTAGGGGCATGTCTATTAAACAGTGAGCAGCCTCTTGCTTCAGGTTCAGGGCTTGCTCAACACAAGCAGAGGGCTACTTAGGCAATGGGGAAAGGGGTGAATGGCTCAGGGAAGTTTAGCTAATGATGGGGGTGTGACATAGAAACTATATTGCTGGACTGACCTAAACATCTGCCTGACATCTGCCTGATTCTTCCTTCATGTACCTCGCTATTTATGTAATTTTTGCATATTGGTTTCCTCTCGTTTCTTTTTCAGTAGTAAATAGAGCTCGAAATCCCTGACATGCTTAGAAACCTAGATTTTCTGATATGGGCCATGTTACCTTCTTAATTAAACAATAAGCTTACATTGATCCCAAACTGAGGCCAAGTTCTCAATCCTTCTCTGGTGATGTCACTTCTCCTTACTGCAGGCGGAGGGATGTCATAAAGGCATGACTGAAGAAGGAGATAAAATGGGGGCTGTGCCCCCATTGGTTGCCCGTTGTCTGCATGTTATGCATGCTGATGATGGTCCCAATCTATGCACAGAATTCACATTAGCAGCCCGGACCTTTCATTTCTGGCTCCCTTATAATGATAGCTATGGTGGACTTACACCTCTGTACAGCATTTCTTACTGTAAGCACCATAACCACTTCAAATTAATGAAGTAGCCATAGTTCTTCAAATCACTGAACTAGTCATAGTGCTTTAAGAAATATCTCTCATACTCAAGCAAATTTATATGATGCTTCTAAAATATGGTCATAACATCTTTTAATTGTGAGCTTAATATTGTTTTAGCAATTACTGCTCACTACTGAATTTTATATATACTATTACAGAGACTAAAGGTATCATCCAGCAGCGAATATGAATATTAAAAAAGAAAATGTTTAGTTGGATTATATTCTTAGCTTCCATAATAGAAACCAAAATCTACCCTTTTACACATTTTACATAAATCTCTGATCCGTACTTGTTTAGGATGTAAAAAATAAATTAAAATGTTGGTTCTTTTTTAACACTAACACTACCGATAGTGAAAGTTTTCCAAAGCTTTGCTAATCTCTCTGGCAGCAAAAGAGTCTAAATAGTAATTGTTTAGCTAACCCGCAAAGAAAGTAAAGCATTTCATCAGAAATATGCATTCTATGAAAGGGGAAACTAGCCAGTCTGTAATTAGCAATTTTCCTTTCTTGAAGGCAGTCACAGCATATACAAGAGGGCACGGAACCTGAAATTGGCACTTAGATACTTGGTGGTGTTGGATTTTATGCCAAAATGCTGAATCCCCCCTCAAAGAAGTGGTTAGCTCTCTGTGAAAGACATTCTACTTACAATCTATCTTGTTTGCTGTAGGTCTGAATCATTACAATAGGGGGTTTCTGCCGGAGGGCTGACTATTAACCACTAACCCTTTATTAGTGGCTGTCTGAATATATTTACCAGCCAGAACTCTAATACACACACACACACACGAGGAT